CCCGGCGGGGAAACCAGTGGTAGCGTCGCCAAATGTCAGCTGTTTTCTCAGGCTACTAGGGAGCTTAAGCAAGATAAAGCCAGTGAAAACGTTGATTTAAAAAAATGAATTTGCGTCCTTGCAAACGTTATCGCTTCTATTTGGATCTTTTTATATTTGCACTAAGAGGTCATGTTACATCGTTTTTATGAAAATGAAAGTTATACGATTTTGCCTTCAAAAAACGATTAGTGGGTCATATCTTAAACAAAATAATAGTGATTTGGTTTGTCAAACGTGACCAAAATGTTATTTTAAAATTATGAATTACCTCTTTCTGAACACAAATTTTGCACTTAAAGTTCAAGGGAAATGTTGAAAAGATGATGTGGTAACGTTTACAGCACATCTGAGAGTAACTATCAAACTTTTATCAAGATATAAGCAAAAAGTAGTTTTGGCCGCCATGTTGGAGGGCAAGAGTATGCCCTCCAACATGGCGGCCAATACAAATCATACTACTTTGTTGAAAAATCAAAGTGCCATAAAATATCTCCCTTAAATGCGTTTCCTCTCAAATTTCGGTTGTAAGATAATTTTTATGTGCTCTGTCAATTTTTGGCATCAGCAAGATTCCAACTCATCGTTTAAAGGAAGCACTGGTCACGTGACCTCTTAGTGCAACTGGCCTATTGTAGGCAATTTCTCCTTGAGTTGAATTCCACGTGCAGGTACAATTTTAATATCAGGGATCGGTCTACTCAAGGAGCTCGCGTCCCTTCGTGGGAGACATTTTTTGCGATCTCGTTGACTAGTCGAGAGATGATTGCGATAAAAAAAATCCTCGTTTGTCAAGCAATGTTTTAACTACTGCGAGGTCACGTTTATGTAGATAGTACGTTGTTAGGTGATTGAAATAGTTTTGTTTCTGGTAAAAAATAATTACCCATAAATGAAATGACACGACTGCCACTTTAGGCTCAACAAATGTCATACATACCATGTCGTTTTTGTTTTTCCCGTGCAGTGAAGTTTATATTACAGTTACATTAATACTCGAGCATATTTTTGTCAGATTAAATCTGACGTAGAAATAGAACTCAACCCGGGATGAAACGGGTTCTTAAACTGCAAATTATAAGTTAAAATTCAAAATTAAAATTTCCGACAGAAATTTAAAAAACCGACAGAAGCCAGAGGCTGACGTTCACAAAGACCCAGATGAACTAACCGTACAAATATTTAGACGCCTAGCCGTTCAAAAATTTGAATGCAAAAATCGAGGTTAAATTTTCAGCCGTTAAGGTTGAAAATTTGCAATTGATCGGCGCAGTATGAACACCATGGTCGCTTGGCGTTTTAGAATTTGGTTATGTAGCGCTCTGCGCATGAGCAGATGGTTAAACCACTGAAACTAAAAATTCAGCCTGATTCGTCATTTCCGCGTGAACTGAGAGACGATGTTGAACGGCCCGGTGTGAACGAAATGCCCGGTCATATTTTTCAGCCGGTATACAATCCGCCTGATGCCATGTGAACATAGACTAAGGAAACACTACCTTCTCGAACCGCCACTCATGGTTCCCCGTCGCCGTTTCGCGGGATTCAGTTGTAGTGCAAGGAAACGTCGTCCTTTTTTCTTTTCGCCCTGGCACAATGTGTCAAATGAGCTAATCCGCGTAGAAGTCATCTTGGTTTCCGAGTTAATATAAGAGACAATGGGTTTTGGTTAGTTTAAATTAATTTCAGGAATAAAGTATTTTGATTTCCAGAATAAAATATTTCGCTAACATATTTATATTGCAATATTATATATGCAACTTATGGAACAACGCTATTTTAAGATTTTTATAGCGGGCCAATAACCAGATTCGTCTTACCAAAATGCTTTTAAGGTTTGTCGGGAAAGAATTGGATCATGTTGGGTTTGCATTACTAAGCTTTGTGATTGCTGAAATACTTCTTCCCTGTTTTGAGGGTCATTTTTTAAGACAACTAATAGTCTCTCGCTCACAAGAAGGTTCGCACCTTATTTTGTCATTAACTCGCGCGTTCCCTTTCTAGCGAAAAGGGCCCGGGGAAGTACTAAGCGTCGTGGAGACAAAAGATGAAGGGTAAGTAACGTTTGATTTCCACTGACGCGTTTTTGGCTTCGCACGTAAATTTTAATCACGTAAATAAAATAGAGGCAAGATAAAAAATGCTGAGCTTAAATGAGAAGTTGAGCGAGGTTCAACTTTTACGCTTACGAGAGACATTTCATGCATTGCCTCCTTTATTTGCGAACGTAAATTTTACGTACGTACGTACGCACGTAAAAATTACGCGACAATGGAAATCAACCCCTAAGGGGCACTCCCCGATTTTCGTTCAGATATTTCTTGATGCAACGTTTACTCCTTGGCATAAACTACGTCACCATAAACAAAGATTTTGATCCTGAAAAACTGTATCGAGCCACCTTAAGTTTATGTTTCAACAGTGAACTTTTAATAGGCCGTCAAAAAAAAGGAAGAAACTTCGAGAAAAGAACTGAGACGCGAAGGACAAGGGGAAAAGATGCAACAATCAGACCCCGAAAGTTCCCAAAATTTCTTCTGATTACCTTGACATTTTGTTTGATTATTATCTTTTTTTAAATTCAGGTTCCGTACGAGTGTTGTTGACTAATTGCTATTTAATTTAAGGACCTGAAAATCAAGCGTATTTGTTCTGTTTGTTCTGACTCGTTCGGACCGACACAAATTTTGCACTCGACAAGTTTTCTGCACGTCAGTTTTTGAACAAGGAGAAACATCAAGGAAAAGTTAGCACATTTTCCAAGCCATACGGATATGTTTTTCTCGTGTAGATACCGTTAGGGTCAGACCATTGAAAAAGTTATGGCAGGGGTGGAGAAATTTCGAGCTGCGCCAATTTTTTTTTCATTCATTTTTTTTTTCATTCGTATTTCTCTCTCTTCTCCAGTATCTTTTCCCTTGCATGAATATATTTTTTTAACTTCCATCCCCATAAGTTTTCTAATGGTCCGTGAATTAAAACTCCTGCAAAATGAAACGTAATTCTTCCAACAAAATTGCATAAAATATTTATTCCTAATTTAAATCATATATCATCATATATCACATAATTTTCACGAGTTATAAAACTTGTGTTTTTATCGAAAACAACGTCTGGAGTTAAAAAAAAGTAAAATCTCAGTAAATTAAACAGATCTTAATTTGAAAAAATGTCCTTTCAGCGATCGCTTTGTGATTAATCACGGTGGAAAGATCTCAAAACAAGCGCTCTTGGCAGAGCCGAGCAACAGGACACGAAACTTCAGAAATTTAATTTCGTTGAACCAACATAAACTAGGACACAGTAGCGGATACATTTTCCCTTCTCGGTGAAGTGGGTAAAATAGGATAAACAGCCTACGTCGAGAGATCGGAATGGTTTTAAGCCTACTTACACAGAATTTCTTTGCCGACAAGATGCACGATTTGTTTCCTCAACATCCGGTTTTCGCGCGACTAAACTGGCATGAATTCGCAAACGGCCACCGTTTTTTTGGCAGAAACGAAATATCCTAGTTTAGATTTTAACTTGTCAAGCAACCGGCATTCTTGCCTTCCATGTGCCCCTCAAAAGCACAAGTTTTATTGAGACATATCGTTCTTGCTACAAACAAAGGTGTTTCCATGTAAAGGCGGCCGGCGCCTTTCTTATTCCATCAATACTACCCTCAGCATTTGCGTCTAGTCTTCTCTCGGCTGGTTTTCTGTTGAGCCCAGACTTTCCCGGACAAAGGTCTTCAGTCCCTGCCCAGTAGAATATAACATAAAGGACATGGCGGTGTCGATGACCGATTGTGGTAGCCAGCCCTGTTAAAACAGACAAGAGGAGAAACAACTTTATCATGAGCAGTTCGTGTCAAGAGCCCTTGTGTGAAGACCCTGCTGATTCCCGTCTGAATTCACGGTTAAGACAAAAAACCCAGCTTGTCTAGTAGCTGTTACCTTAAGATCTACATCAAACAACCAGACGTATTCAGTTCTGTTTGGATTCCCCTCGGCTTCTCGCATAGCCCAGCCACCGGGACCATTTTCAGCTCTGAAAAAATAAACAAACAAACAAACTTCAGTTATAAGAAATTGAGCTAAGAAAACTGCCATGATGAAGTCCTTAGGGTAAAAGGAGCTATTTCACGCTACAGGTTGCCTTTTTAACAACCTGTCTTTGCATCAATCGACCAAAAATAATGGTCCACTTTTGTTACTTAAAAAATATATTTAGGCATTGAAACTGTTTTCTGTCGTCTGTCGCTGCGGATGAAAAGGATGGACATGGATTGAAAAAAGTGGGCCAACTAATTATGATCGGTGCTCCCTGTTGAAATCTGTTTGATATGTTTTCCTTAACTCCATGGGAGCATTATGTGTACGGGTAAAGACACTAAGCAATGACGTAAGCACAGAATTGACTAAAAACAGCAAGATCCTCGTAACATAGCCCCTCTAAGTAGGAGCGGGGGGTGGGGTGGGGGAGTGCTATATAAACTAAAAAATTAGAGTTTTCTTCTAAACATCCCATGCAAAAAAAGAATACAGCCAATCAGAGAGCTAGAAACCCGTTGCATATTCTGTGGCGGGTAATTGTACTCACGAAAAATATCCTGGCAGTGCTTGTAGCCCGCTCGTGGTATACGAGTATACTGAACAAATCTACCACAATTTTCTATGGTCTACACTCTTTTAGACCATAGAAATGATGTCATAAAATGTTCAAAACTCAAGTGGAACCATGAGCCGCAGGCGAGAGGTTTCACTGCAAAGTTTTGAACATTTTATGGCGTCATTTCTATGGACTATAAGAGTGTAGACCATGGAAAATTGTGGTCGATTTATTTTTAGTTTCCTGCGAAGTAAAACAACCGCACTGCTTAAACGGTTACGTCATTTCCATGTCTATACTCTCATAGACCATAGCTCTCGACCAATCAGCAAGCGAGGATTTGCTCAGTAACCTCTCCACAATGGCCACCATGGGGACAGAAGAAAGTGACCAGTGTAGACAGGTGACCGTTGTAGAGAGGTTGAAACAAGAGTGAATGCATGGACTGTCTGCCAAAAACACGGTGGCCGTTGTAGAGAGGTGACCATTAGTGGAAGTTCGACTCACTGTACCATGAATATCCTAATCGTGCCTTTATCTTTCTTTGTACGCACACAAGTTTTTAGGCACCTGTTAAAAATCAAGCCACTCGTGGGATACTTCACACGTAACACTCAAGTGCATTTTTTTTCCCACACGTACAAGAGGGCTGATCACAGCGAACTTTGTAATAAACAGTTTCTGAATATCACTGTCATCCAGCCAGTGCTGTGATCCAAATTATTTGTCTTTCTGTGATAATGTCTCACCTTATATGTCCCTTTTTAGGCGGTGCTTCATCAACTTCAGTTGCTACGTTACAAGACAGAAATACGTCTCCTCTCTTCTCCCAACGGCGAAGGTTCACAAAATCCCTGAACAAAATAAGGTGTACACATTTACTAACGAGAGTACAAGCCATGATAGATATGGATCTTCCAGCTGTTAGGGGAAGACAATTATTGAGGCCCGTTTACAGAAAGAAGATATTTAGCAATTATTGAATGAGGCTGAGTTCTGCAGATCGAGAAGGGTGATAACACCCTCCGAGATCTGCAGAATTCTTGATATCCTACGAAAGCCGAATTCAATAATTGTTTTATTATTCCTTCAAAATAATTTCAAGTTTAAAAACAAGGTAAATCATGATAACCTTGGTCGATGTAAGTTTATATCGATAATGCATCTTTATCGGGAAGTTAAGGAGATAAAGGTCTGTTCAGGTCTGCAAATATACTTCAAATAGCAGATGTCGTCCGTCTTCATGCTGTTCTTACCATGTTTTTAGACAATATTTCGCTGTGAAACGAGTAAAATGTTCCGCCATTTTGTTCTAACTACCAAAACAACTCAACCTCGTCCCCAGGTTTTCACAGTCAACGGCTCAGTAACCTGCAACCAGGCTGCACTTTTGACGTCATTTTGACGTCATCGGTTCAATATGACAAAATTCTTTCCAAATTTGGTCAACAGTAGCTGGTTAAGGTGAATTAGACGTGTGGTTTTAACCAATCAGAAACGGGGTAATATTTTGAATGAATAATAAATATAGTTACGTGGACAAAAACTTGTCCCAGGTAGATGGGTCACTCGCCTACCCGAGCTACCATAGGTAAGCCAACTTTTTTTTTTTAGAAAGGAAACAAAAAGTTTGCTGAGCTAGAAGGGTAACCTGCCTAGCAGGGTCACCCTTTTTCGAGTAGCCGATGTCACCTTCCTAGCCTGGCCAACTTTCATCTCCATAAAAACACTTTGGTTTGCCCAGCCGGGTGAACTCAGATAAAGCGAGATAATTAGAGCACGCCTGAGCACTGTTGGCTCGGGAAAAGGTGTCAACGTTTTTCTCTTTTAAATGCTGCCACCCTGCCACTAACAAAGGTTCCGACGCTCCACCACTTTAGGAGGTTAATAGGTATACATTTTATAAAATTAACACTCCCCAGATAGAGGCTTTTCCTCTACATTTATAAGACAACCGATAAACTTAATAAACATTAAATTTAGTCTTCTGAGGTTTAAGAACTGCCAGCAGACTTTGCTATCATAGATTTGCCCAGCAAACGTTATTTCTTTATCAAAACCCGAACAAATAATAATAATAATAATAATAATACACTTAAATTAAAGAGGGTAGCACGGAATAGTTCCAGAAACTAGTAAACTTGTAGCCCTCTATCTAAATTAAAATTACAAAAAACATAAGATTCCGAATATACAAAGTCTAAGTACAAAATAAATAAAACCAAGGAAATATAGAAGTTCTACATCAATATGAATGAGTATAAGAGCTAATGATATGGCTAGTAAAATATATGCAAGAATATGATTAAACTATGAAATGGTGTAATTCCCGCTGCTCTTTAAATAAGAAAGGCGAGATTCCATAGATAGGCCTGTTCGTACAGCATGACGTTTATCTTTCTAAATAATTAGCAAGGAGGCTCTCTGATGGAGGTATCAAAGAAAATATATGAAATATCACCCAAAACAAAAAGAGTTATATTGACCGACTTAAAGTGTTCTTAAGTTCACCGATAATTATAAACTGCTTCCTGGTGTTGGCTGATGTGAAAGTTAAAGTTTTTCACTGTGAAGCTACAATCGGCGACAAAATTGTTGAGACACTGTACTCAAATAGGGTAACTTCAGAGAAAATAAGAATCCCCACCCCTTCCCTGTCTCCTCCATTCAAAGTTGGGATGTTTCTTGTTTTCTAAAGGTGGCTCGAACAGTGGCACAACATTGCATGGAGGGGATGGGGGAGGAAAAGCTATCTTTTCCCCTTCTGAAGTCCGGAAAACGTCAAAAAGTCCATTGAGGGCGAAGTGTCTCAACTCATTTTGTCGCCTATTGTGGACATTGGCTTTCAGATCGGCGCATATTTTACTAACCTAGCAGAGACCATGCCTCCTCCAGCCTCACCAACACTATTGTAAACAATATCAGTATGACGATCAATCTGGCGAACAACCTAGGGGAAAAAAGCCAATTACAGTAGAAAGTATATCCTTGAGATCTAAGGACAGTCAATCGGATCCGAAGAAAGCTAAAGGGAGATTAAACAAAGAAGACTGGGACGTTTCGGCAACCTGTGCGGTAGACATCTTCAGAGTCAAAGTGAGTTGTATCACGTCAGTTGATGGTATAACTGGTTATTGATCTCATTGGTCAATTAAGTCGCGATGTTACTGGTCGTCTGTCAGTTAAGCTGTGATGTTGACTCGTTATGTCATTGGTGCGTTTAAACAGTCACAATTAAACAGTCATTTATTGTTAGTTAAACTGTCGGTTGTCCAGTCATTCTCTAGTAGTTAGTTTTGCTTGGCTTCGTCAATAAGTCGTTTGAACGGTGCCGTTAACTGTTGATTACAATTCAGCGGCGTTTGTTCAAAGTTAGTAAACCAACTTTCTAAAGCGAGTCATTGATAGTAGTCTGTAGAATACGTAATACACGTGGCAGTGTCCCAGTCCATTTGATGTTTCGTCTGTAAATGGTGTTTAGTAATGTGATTGTTGACGTCACCATTTCTTGTTGCTCGTTTGTGTTCGGTCTGTCGCATGCTAAGGTTTCTACCAGTTTTACAGATATAAGTGGCCTAGCAGTCGCAGCATTTGATCTTGTATACTGCTCCCTGTCTGTCATCCTGTTCGTCTTTGTCCTTGACATTAGTAAGTAGTCGTTGTAAAGTGGTTGTACGTTTGTGTGCAACACGTATATTGTAAGGTTGTAGTATACGTGCAATAGTTTCAGATTTTTCCAAAGAAATGTACAAAAAAGAGTGATGCACGTGCAGAGTTGTTATTTTGCCAATTTAAACCCATTGCTTTTTTGCAGTTCTCGTTGGCGTCGCCGTCGTCGTTGCTTAAGCTTCCAACTATTACTGTCCTAGAGAAGCTTGAACTGAGGATGAACAACTTACGTAGGAAGAAGTGATGTTTCCTCCCCATCTAGAAGCATCCTCTGGGTGTAGAATGATCAGACTAAATACATCTTCAGCTTTAGCATCCAAAGAGGACTACAAATAACAAAAGGCCGGCATTAGATAGTACCTTTAAGAGCTAATATCGCGTTTTGACATTGCCTTTGACAAGAAAAGTATTAATTTCTCCCAAAATTATTATTCCAAAGCCAAGTCTGCAACCTCAAAAAATATATGTTTTTTTATCAAATTACCTTTAATCTGTAGATTTTCTTTCCACTTGGCAGCAATCTACTTCCTACGACAATTCCATCCTAATTAATAGATGAACAAGAAAAATAAAACAAAATTTAAAACTAAGACCTCCAGTTAAATTGAACTACTGCATTATAAACACACCTTGACTTTTTCTGATTTCCATCCATCGGTGAGATTCATTAAATTCCAAGTTATTTCCAAAGTTTCTTTACTTTTTTGAATTAACTGTAGATCCTACAGAAGAAAACAATCGATCACTCAGCAATTTTAGCCCTCTTTCTATGTCAGATCTTTGGGTCTTAACATGGGGCACAATTCAGTTACCCTGTTAAGACAAAACACTAGCGCGGGGGGGGGGGGTGGCATAAAAAGCGTCCGTATTAACGGGGTCCGTTTTAAGCGGGCTGAATTTAGAGAAAATGTAACGGTGCTTCTACTTACGCGTTGGAGCCGTCAGAAAGAATGGAGACAAGTGTACCTCTTGAAAAATTAGGAAACTTACGAAATGACGAGGGTGGAGGCAACAACGACGGACAGATGAAAAGTGGTGCATGTCCATGCAACGCACTTAAAGGTCATTTCGCGATGATAGCGGAGCCCAATACCTAAGAAAATTTAGTAATCTGTCTATCCGAAGAATTTTAGCAATCACGTTACCGTACGTACGTCCGCCCGTCTGTCCACACCACAGAGAAACCAATGTGAAATGTCAAACTTTCTAGCTTGTGTTGGAGCCTGTAACCTGTGTTTAACTTGATGGTAGACATCCATATTATGTTCAATTGACAGCCGTCAAAACAAGGTATCCGCTGACCAGAGTCACATGACCAGATTGCGGGCTCAGGTTCCCACTCATCGAGGTCACGTGTTTTAGCTTTCCGCTGACCAGTTGTCAGTTTTTAATTGATTGCAGGCTCAAGTTATATTTTTCAGTCATATGGTTCCCCCCTAAAGTTAAGTAGAGATTTGAGGATTTATTTGCAATGATTTAAAGTCCATTGTCTGAAGTAAATTTAAAGTACATAAACTGGAGCTTCGCCTTCAGCTCTAGCTAAATCTATATGTCATGACGTTTGAAAGAACATACACTCAGTTAGGAAAGAAACAAAGGCGAATTTACTTTATCGACGATATTTTCACTGCCGTCGTCGTCGAGGATTCGTCAACCCCCTAATTCCAACGCCAAATTGCTCCATTCGCAAAAAGCAATCCCATCTGGACGAAACCCTACCATCTAGGCAGTCTGTTCTATCAGAATCAGTCTAAAGTCGCGGATGGGCGAGCTTCCAACACACGTGCATCGATGAGACAAGATCACTACATCATGCATTCGAGTTTACATGGGAGGATAAGGGAGACAACGCGATAGTCAGTCTGAACTGACAAAAGGTCGTATTCAAAGCAAGCAAGCATGATCATAACAGTTTGTTTAAGACCCTGGAGTGGTTAGCGGTTTGGCTTGGTTTGAACCCTCGACCTCTTGCTCAAAAGAGCGACGCTCTGTATAAACTGGCTGACAGTAATACCTTTGACTTCTTCATTACCTGCGGGGAAAATCTTGCTGCTACAGGTTGGGACCTACGCAGTTCCTCTGAGTCACTTTCGATTTCGCTGTCAGAAGCTGAAAACAAAAACAACCAAAAGGACGAAACCAAATGACAATGAGCATCATAGCTGAACAATTGTGAGGGCAATCGCGCAAACTTACTGAAGCAAAGTTTTCTTGTTTACTTCCGTATCGCTGAAAGTAAGCTACATAGATAATACGTTCTAAATAAATGCGCTTGATCAAGTAAATGCGAAAGTTGTGTTTAGGCGGAGCACGTGTGGGGTCTCGAAAGCTTTACCGTTTTTGTGCGATCTTTCCATATCAATCCGTATGTAGTAGATAGCACAAAATAAACCTCCAAGAACATCCAAACAGGAAATAACAAAACAGACACTCCACCGAACGACGGATGGACACATAGGCAATGGCAGGAAGGGGTAGGACAGGAGGATAAAAACTGGCTAAATTAATGCCATCATGAATTTAACATATTGTCAAGCTTTACTATAACTTCATAAATTGCTATTTAGGATGGCATAACACAACAACAACAAAAACTGTACAATCAAAATGTTTTTCAACACTGCTGGCAGTCCCTCGGGATTGTCACTCGGGCGAGCATATTAGGAACGTTGCCCGGAAAGAGGCAAATGGCACAGCTTACGCACCAATTGACTGAAAAAGGATCGTTACATTTCCTTTCATTCTTAGTGGAAATAAAGCTTTTATGCTAAGGCATATGCAAATACAGTCGACTCTCTCTTAACGGACACCTCTATAAGACAGACACCTCTGTAAAATGGACACCTAGAGTTGGTCCCTGCCTTTCTTTACTCCCTTTATTTGACTCTCTATAAGACGGACATCTCTCTAAGACGGACACTTAGTGCCGGTCCCAAAGGTGTCCGTCTTGGAGAGAGTTGACTGTAGAAAGACTTTTTTCGCCTTTTTCCTCGCTCTTTTCTTTCCTCTTATTTCCCTTTTTCCCCCTATTTTTTCGTTCCAGTGAGGTAAAAGTTCTTGAGAAAACGCTGATGAAGTAATGACACAAAAGTTTCTTTCAAAAGGACCATTCGATTTTATATGTTTCTTTTTTTCCACACCCAGTTTCATTTTTCATCCTGTACAAGTTATGCATCAAAATCGTCTTTGATAAGCGACTGATGACGTCACAAATGGTACAAAGATGGCGATTCCCCACACGCAGTTTTAAGCACAGCTTGAGGCGTGAATGGGCTATAGTTATGGGATGTTATGATAGTTAAAATCAGAGTAATTTTATGTAATAACAAATTATATGACAACCAACCTTCTGGGGTGTAAAAACTATGCTCCGATACCAGGGAATATGGAGTATTATACCTGGAACAGATCACACAAATTTTCTTCATCAGCTATTTGAACAAAGCTAAACGTTGTTTTAAGCCAAACTTTGCGGAGGATTTCATTAGTAACTAGAGCTGTTATTTTATTTATCTATTTCTAGCTGTATTTTTGAAAACGTATCTAGCGAAATTTGCAGCCATTTCAGAGTGGGAACGAACCAAAACCAATGGAAGTTTTTTTTAGCATTCGATATGCCTGAAAATCACACCAGCAAAAGAAAAGGAAGGGAAAAGAGGAAGAGTAAGGAGAAAGAAAAGAAGAGAAGAAAAAAAAGTTAATGGCCGTTGCACTCTTAGTTTTATATTGGCTACTTTAAACTGCTTGAAGGAAGAGCGTATTAAGCAGTAGCGTTTTCAATATTTCGGCTGATTTATATATTTCTTTGTTCAATTTTCTTACCCACGAAATGCCTCACCAAGAAGCGGTCTTCTCTCTTCTGTGGGAAGGAGATGAAATAATAAAACTCGGTTCAGTTGTAGACCTTCTTCTCTCCTAAATTGTTTCTACTATCTCATCATGATTAATCTCATTCAACTGCATATAGCACACTAATTTGTTACAAACAATACCTTGATGGATTCTTTGTTCTGCTTTAACTTCTGCTGGAATTACCTATAAACAAAACATCAAATTAACAAACTGTTACAAGGAGAATCCTGCAAGCTTTCCCTTTCAAACGAGATCTCTATCAGTTCTTTGACACGGCCACTACAAACTTTTGAGAACATATCATGGGTTTAATACAAACGAAAACCAATCAAAATCAAAGACTACTGAGACGCAGCATTTTTAAAGAAGAAGAAATAAAATCTTTCAAATGCATGACTCCACCTTCAAAACTTCTTGAATGTATTTTTATTGGTTCTGTATTTAATTACAGTTACAAAACCTGTCAAAAATTTGAGGAAATCTTCATCATTTAACTGCACATTAACATTGTGGGAATATTATTACTTTAAAAGTAAAAAAACAGCTACGGTACTTACTCTTAATGTAGCTGTTACAGGGTATGTACTGACCTTAACATCAAACACCCAGGACTCCACCCAAGACAACACCAGAGACGACAAAACCAGAACATAATACAGAGTTAAGTTTTCATTATCTGGGGAAGACTGCACAGAAAAATAATAGGAAATTAACAGTGTTAGCAGAGATAAATACATCTGAATTAAATCACAGGTTGTTGTTGACAAAAATTTCCTTACACCAGTAGTATTCGATTTCCATCGACGTTATCAGAGACCTTTAGATTTGAGGATGAGAATGATTATCAACAGTGACAGAACGTTTTTTCATGTATTTTCTAAAAAATAGACACCCTGGAAAGCTTCATTGTACTTATTATTCACCAAAAACATAAATTAGCACTGCTATCTTTAATCAAAGGAGGTTAAGCCTTCTCCCAATCTCAAAATGTTAAAACTTCAAACATTAATTTGATAATTTGTTTTTATTTGCTAAACTCGTAGTAGAATTATGATCCAGCTTTCATGTTTTCCCACCAAAATGACACTGGTTCACATGCTTCTGATGAGGCTCTGAACATCTCAAATAGCATTGTCCAATAAAGCTCCTTAACCAGAAGCATGCATGTTGTGAGGTTGCTGTAACAGATTCAGGGGAAGCCATGGCAACTAGCTGGTGCCCTAAAACCAACCGAGCAGCTCTGGGAAAGCTCAAAGGTTAGGACCATGGACTAGTCTACCTAGGAATATGGTAGTAGATAACTGCAAGCATTCTACAAACAGGCAACAGGCTTAAAAACAAAACAAACAAACTAGCAAATATGGCAAGGGGGTGATAGGAGACAAACAGGAAAGTGAAATGGTTTCAACAGCGATGCTATGTGGAAGCCTGTGGCTGAAAGTGAACTATCTCATAGGGTCAAAAGTAATGACAAAAGGAAACCGTAAAAGCAGCTGCCAAAGATAGAGAAGCTTAGAGAACGAAAATTGCCACGGTAGATATTTTATGAGTTATCTTGATGGTAAGTCATTAATTAAAAGCTTCCAAATGTATATTAAAAGAAAAAGTGGGATGCAGATCTCACAACAATCAACACATCAATTATAATATAAATGTGTTTTATTCTTCATTTTGCACTAAAAGATTCAAAATCTATTTAGATTTTGTTTCCCTTTGGCATAGTTCTGCATTGCCTCAAAGCATTGATTGTCACCTTAATAATGTGTCTTTTACAGTTACAAATAATCCCCACCACCCAATACACGTTATGTCATTCAAAAACAGAATACTCAAAAAAATATTGGAAAGCAGAACAACTACACCCTGAGAAACAATTTAACTTACCGCAAGTTGTGTCAGTATAATTTTAACAAGAAGAAAGGCAGTTGTTACTGTGGTAGTCACCTAGACAAATAAAATTTAAAAAACAGGTCAAAACTAAGAACCATCAGTGTCCTCCTTGGATGCCTGTTTTGTGCTTGAACTGACGAAAAGACACTCACTGCTGCACAAGCCTGGCTTAACAACTTTCAATGAAACATTAACCCATAACAAAATCTTCATTTTAAGAAGCCTTTTTGCAGGTTATTATTTATATGGATTTACTCTGTTTATACAAAATGACTATTGTCACTGGTCACAGTGTGAAGATCCAGTTGTCAACAGCCTGTTTGGATCAAGCTTTATGAATACCCTTGCACTTTACAAATGCTGGGAAGAACACTGACCTTACATGAAAAGGACTGTTAGTAGATAACAGTCTTGAAAGGTAATAAAATCAATATAAATAATTATTGTTATACAGCTGAAAATATTTTCTCAACAGTGTGAGCTCTCATTGGTTACTTCAAAATCACATGACATCTAGCAATGAAACTGCTTCCTGCCAAAATGTGAGCAGGCAACATTGCAAAATCTATGATGTCACAGGGTAACGGTGCACTGTTACCTGCGAATGTCAGGGCTTCTGGTAGATCGCGAGAGAAAAAGTCAAATTCCACAGGATTTTTAGGGACATTCGTGGAAAAATTGGCCAATTTCACAGGAATTTCGTGGGAGTTTTCAGGGCAAACTTTACCAAAAAGCAATCGGTAAAAAATGGCCAATTTGTGGCTATTTTCAGGGCAAATTTTGCTAGAAATCGATCGGTTTTGCGCCGATCAGACCAGCGTTTTTAACGTTTTTCTAACAGAGGTCATCATTTGCTCTTACAACAACAATACGCTCCAGAAATGAACCAATGGCAAAGCCTTTAACATCATGGCTAGTGCCCAGTTTTTCGCAACATAACCTACTCCTGGTAGTTTCGGGATGTCGTTTGCACATTTCAGTGACGAAGTTCCAAGATAAATTTGCATGTTTACAGCAAGTAAATAGCTCCTATAGCTGAAATAAGTTCCAAATAAGTTGTACAGACATTATTAATTTTCGTGTTTTTGTGAATTTCGAGAGATTTCGCGGAATTACCTGAATTTTGCCGCTCTCCAACCGCGCAAAATATCAGAAGCCCTGGAATGTTGACCAACGACCATTGTTAAAGTGAGGTTTAATGACTTTCCAGCTTCAAAATTTCCAGCTATATAACAAATCACTTAAAGACTGGTTCCCCAGGAAACAGTTAACTTTATTTCCCGAGAATCTAAATGTTTCCCCCAGCTCTGCCTCAGTAAACATTGAGATTCTTGGAAAAGAAATCAACTATTTCCCTCTGGAGCAGTGTTTATTATTATACCATAATCAATTAGAGTTAATTATTTAAAAACTTTACATATTTGTAAATATTAGTACCAATAAAGACACTGAAACACTGAACCAATACTTACAGCAACAGCATACCACTTGCGACTGACACAAAAAGCATAAGCAAGAAGAAGAACAATCATTCGCCATAACGCCAACAGCTGGAAGGCAATGAAAACACAGTTCATTGACACAAAAATGCCAAACAAATAAAAAACACTTCACAGGTTGGGTTGTTAAAGGTTTTAGTTTGGTTGTTTACATTAGTTAGACGGATAGAAGTTTGAGAATTTTCCAGCAGTGTTTGCCTCTGAGATCTTGAATCAGCATTCATTGTACTTTGGATAATGTTCAGCTGGTACTACTACCAGCTGCCTAAGACAATATGATAACACAACATCATGCTGAATTTTCACACCAACTCTACTACACCTGAATTTTTTTCTCAGAACTTTTCCCAAGGAGGGTGGGGGGGGGCACTCAGGTGGTGATTGCATGTGTGCTGTTTTTATTACCATACTGAAGGGGCCTTTGAAATAGAAATGTATGGTCCCAAGTGACTCCTAACCGAGCTCAGAAATAGATCAGAGAGACATCTGTGCCTCAAATACAGAAATCCCATACTGATACTGTAAATCAATGTTTACATGATTAATCTGGTAGTCATGGTGTTCCAAATGTAAATTTGTTCGAGTTTATGCCTCTCCTGGTCTATTATGGCAAATAATTCAGTTCTTCTGTGAATGAATTGCAGAAAACTGAGATCACTTCCTCTAAAGAAGAAAATGTTCCACCAATAATGACTGTTTTGTGGTTGATTCCTCTCTTTCACTTTTGACCTTTGTGACCTTTTGTCTTTTGTCTGTCATTAGTAAACAACAGCTAAACAACAGAATTACTTCGTCAACCAATCCCAGATGGATTTTACATCATTAGCATGGAGTTTCTGTTGTTAAGGCACAGATGTCTCTCCAGCAAAAATGTCCCTAGAGGTGAGCAGGGTTGTCAAAATGCGCCGGCGACCGTCGCTATCGCCGGCTACTCTGAGGTTTTCGCCAGCTGTAAATTGTTGAAAAAAAGCGAAAAATAGAGGATTAAAAAAAAGTTGTAAAGTAGAAAACAGAATAGAAAAAGAAATTGTTTTCATCATGCCCTGAATGTTCTTTTTCATGATTTTTAAACATGTTTACTAATCCGCTTCCGATTACTTCTTACTGTAGCCGTAATATGATACCACGAAGTGATTAAAAATAGCGTTGATGCATGCGACGGGTTTGTTTACATAGTCTTTATAAAAATAATCTTTGGTTGACAATGAACAATAAAAGACACGCGAAAGCTTTCGAGTGGTTTTCGCAATCATCNCTAATCCGCTTCCGATTACTTCTTACTGTAGCCGTAATATGATACCACGAAGTGATTAAAAATAGCGTTGATGCATGCGACGGGTTTGTTTACATAGTCTTTATAAAAATAATCTTTGGTTGACAATGAACAATAAAAGACACGCGAAAGCTTTCGAGTGGTTTTCGCAATCATCTGGCACAAGTTTGCATTTGAAGTCGAATCAAATGTAATGAGATGTATTAAAGTACCTATCTTACAATGTACATGAAATTGGCTGACAAACATGACACATTCCAAAACATTGGTTAATTTGTCAGACGTGTAGAACATCATTTTCATTTTTTTTCATGGACTGATGCCAATAAAAGAGTCGTGCATGCTACATGTGCAGAATTAAAATTTGTTGTGATGTATCTTCCTAGGAAAGTTGTCTGAAACTTCATTCTTATACAGAAAATCGCCCGTAAGAAAATCATTTTTAATTCTGCATCAAGTTTGACTTGCACACTTCCATGCACCCATTCACACCATGTTAACATGTTTTCTCACTGTGTATCATGGAGCACGACCTTTTAGTTCAGTGCATATGAAGAATGTCTGTTGCCAAATGCAGCTTATAACTGGAGCAGTCTCGCTTTTAAGAGAAAAAAAGGTCACTTACACCCCAACCCTTCTGGAGAAAGATCTTACCTCAGTAAGCATTTTGACTTACCACAATATCGAACAAAGAGGCATTAAACTTGTAATGTATGACATCTTTCTTCAAAGCATCTTTGAACCCCTGACCACTGAAAGCCTGTAAAAAGTAAATCAGAGTACCAGTGTAAATAAAAAACACACACTTTGCTGGGCCACTTTCATATTAAGGGCAACTCTAAACTTCTGCGATGGTAGAACTGTTCTGTTTTGCTCATAATAAATGATATCACCTGAAAAAACAATGTCTTGATATGACAATTTCAAAGTAATGCATCTGAAGTTTTGCAAAACATTGAGAAGTGGAACCCTGCTCCAATTGGTGCCATGGGGACAGTTGATCTTATCAGACAAGTGGGTTAACATGACAGGGCATCATACAAATTCACCGTCTCAAGAGAGTAAGTGCTCCCTGGGGAGTACTCTGGAGTTAAAGTGTCGACAGGGATGATCACAGAACTTTTTTGGGTTTGAAATTGTCGATTCTGGAATTTTTTTGGGTGGGAAAATTTGGCAAGTAATTTTTGAGGTGCCCTAATTAAAGAAGGGATTAAAAAAAACTGAAGATTTCTTGCGGTACTGCATGCATATGAGACGGCCACGTAGTGTTAGAGTACCAGATAAGGGAAAGATAAATTCAGGATGTACTATATACATTCAAGAGCATTCTTTTTGCATGGAATTTTTAAAGGCTCAGAAATTTCGGCATGGGATTTTTTTGGGGGTTTAATTTTAGGTATAGGGAATTTTTTTTTGATTCTCTGAGGGCCCTAGGTATTTTTTCCTCTTACTTTCTCCTCTGGCTGTTTTCTCTGCCTTCCTGTGGTTTTTTGCGCCTACCATGCAGGCTAGATTTGAGGGTGTTTTACTTTTCGCAATGAAAAAAATTTTAAGACCCCTTAATCCATCCCAATTCGACGAAAAGGATCTGAGGGAAGTTAAGCTTAATTTGACGAATAACACTTGGAACAGTCATACTTCGAGTCCTTTATTATTCGACCCTTAGTTTTCGTAACACCCTTTCCCATGCTGACCCATGTTTAAAGAACAAAGGTATGTTTTTCCAGGAATAATTCATTGAGTTTGTCACGGTCTCGTGACAATCGCATTGTCTCCATTAATGTTTCCATGATGCAATTCAATTCAATTTCATCTTGATACACTTATAAGGTATCCAGTCCTAGACTGAGAAATGCAACAGGATCTAACGAATTTAATTTTGTAAGCAAAAGAAAAGGATATAATACTCACATGTGCGCGCAAAATCCAAATAAATAAAGCGGAAAGAAAATCGAATGCGGTCAAGAGGCAGAACAGACGACGAGACGGGGAAAAAGAACGGAAATTTCCTGAAGACGACTGTAAAAGGGGACTTGCACTACTGCCAAGTGCAGATATCTGGCTTCCTGTTTCTGCATCCTGGCTAATGAAAGAGCTCATCTTGCCCGAGCTCCCATCCATGCGATCTTTCCGTGAAACTGTAGCTGTGTAGCTTGTCAAGAAGATGGAAGATCAACAAACCAGCGAAGCGAAAAGAAAGCCGAGTCAGTCGAAAGGAGTCTGGTAATGACTATTTTCCGCTGGCTGAAATAACTGCAGTCTCATAATTTTTGGCGGTCAGTTTTGAACGAAAACAAAATGGCTTCCCAGCTTGAAGATATTGAAAGGTATTTAGATTAAATATTCTCACACGGCTATCTAAAACGACAGTCTTGATGCTATGTGATACTGAAGTATGATACTTTTTGTCTTTACTATGGTATACGATCATGAGTTTGTTTTAATTTTTTGCAGGATTCTTCAAGATATCTCAAACCACAGCAACGTCAAATCGCTCCAGGTTAATGTTGGCCAGGACACCAATACCGAATTACAACTTGAAAAGCATAAGGTAAAGTTGGTTCTAATGTTATAATAGACCACTCTATTCTAACATAATAATAAGACTCGATGAAGTGTACCCCTAGGCCTAACCAAAAAACTGGTGACGCTATTAAGGGTATGGTACGTTTCAAACAGTTTTATAGACTAGTGCATGTGGGATAGGGTATAGAAATCAGAGAAATTGGGTCTAGAATAGGGTATCATTTTCCACGAAACCTGGTTAAAGATTTAAGCCTAAACTAGGGAAACTGGGAACTGACAATGAAAAAAGTGAAATTGGCAAATTTAATCTTCTTATACCTGCAACTTAGTAAGCTTTTGTTTTGGCTGGAATGTGCTGGTGACCTCTGTAGTTTCTAGAAAATAGTGACCCTAGGATAGGAAGGAATTTTGGAGTTTAGTCTAGTTTAGGGTAAAAAAAAAAAATCAGCAGATTCTACAATCTTGGACAAAATAAAATGGAAAATTTAGACCCCCCTCCCCCTCCCTCCTCCCCAAATCAAAGATGGCAAATTGACACATTTTGCCCTTCACTCCTAGGCTTCATCCTATGTGGGTTTGCTGTTTATGCTCCATTTTATCTGTCCAAGATTGTAGGTCTGTTGTGGGCTAAGGATTCCAGGGTAACAGCGAGACAAGACAAGACAAGACAATGCTTTATTTGGAGTCTTATACAGTCCTATGTACATCGACTTTATCCAAATAATTTAAAATCATAACACACTAAAGTACTCCCCCCTCCGTATTTGGTTTTAGCTTCTCTAAAATGACCACCTCTCTACTACCTACATGTATCTCTCTATCCCTAAAGCAGGTATTGTCAAGAGGTTTGACTGTATGAAGAGTTGTCTGCATGCCAAAGCACTAACTGTTGATTGAGACTTGACTCTTTAAAATACACCAAGAACGTCTTTGCCTGGGGCAGTACAAGATAACTTGTAGCAATTCTCTACTTATGAACCAGGGAAGCTGGACTTGTCCCTGGGATTTTCTGGGAAGGGGTGCAAAAGTAAGAGATGATTGCCTGAGCCTTTTGCCCATCATGCAAGCAAGCCTGAAAAGTTCCTTGAATTGCCCTATAAAAAAATCCTTTTGTCCCAGACAATGGGGTGAGACATTTTCTGAACCCTAGTAAAACCAATTTTTAGCCTTAGATTGTAAAAATGTAAGGGTTGGGGTGTGAAAAGTCAAGACACCCCTAAATT